TTGACTTTATTTATTTATTTACTTATTTACTTTAATTTGACCAGAGAGGAACGGAATGAGAGAGGAAGAAAGAGAGAGGGAAAGTAAGAAAGCAAGATATCAGGTCAGGGACTCAAACTGAAGTTGGCCATGTGGGAATTCTGTGCCCTTAACCCTCATGCTCCCTGCCAGACCCACCAGTCTTATAGCAAACTTTAAAAAAATTTGATACTCTTTATCTTTTAAAGAATTCATTTATTTAACTTTATTTTAATTTGACCAGAGAGGGACAGAGCAAGAGTGAGAGTAAGGAAGAGACAGAGAGAGAGAAAGTTTGAAAGAAACCTGCGAGGTCCTGAACTTGAACCATAGTCAGCCATGTGGGAGTACAGTGCCCTTTACCACCATGCCACCTGCTGGCCTCCCCAAAACATTAATACTTCTTAATTGTCCATTATAACTAGCTGGACATTTATTCATTTACTTATTTGGAGGGAGAGCTATTTGTTATAGGGCACATGTGCTCTCCAGAGACAGAGAGAGACAAAAGACAGAAAGTGAGAAATCACCCCTCCCTCCAGAGTACATAGCCATGCCACAATCACTTCTTCTGCTAGGATATTGGTCACACATGTACATGGGCCCTACATGAGTTTCTAGCCACTGGGTCCAGGATTCAAACTTCAGTCGGCCATGTCAGAGTCCAATGATATAACCACTAGGCCATCTGCTGGCCCCTGTTAGCTGGAGTTCTTAAGCTCAAAATTATGCATTTCAGTACTTTTCTTATCTCTGCTTTTCTTAGTGTGTTGTCCTCATTCTTCTATCTGATTTTTGAAATATAACATCAACGTTCACTTACCTCTACTTGAATATGTTTGATTTATCATGATATATTTGTTTATTTATTTTAGGGAATTTTGCCTTAAGTTACATGGGCTATTCAGAGAGAGAGAGAGAGAGACAGAGACAGACACAGGAAAGTAAAAGGGAAAGTGAGAAGTCAACTCCCAGGGGTTATGACCATGTCACAATCCCTTCTCCTCCATTCTCCTCCCAGAATCTTGGGCACACACGCCCTGAGTGATTTCTTTCTTTCTTTCTTTTTTTTCTTCTTTTTTAAAGAGGTTTTTGCTGTAGGGCACGTGCACTAGCCAGAAATAGAGAGAGAGAGACAGAGACAGACACAGGAAAGTAAAAGGGAAAGTGAGAAGTCAACTCCCAGGGGTTATGACCATGTCACAATCCCTTCTCCTCCATTCTCCTCTTAGGATCTTGGGCACACACTCACACATGCCCAGGATGAGTTTAAGCCACCAGGTCCTGGTCTCTAACCGTGGTCAGTTACATGGGAGTCCAGTGGTATAGTCATTACGCCAAATGCTGGTCCCAACCCTGCGTGATTTTCAAAACTCCAGAGTAGGAACTCAAACTGTGATCGGCCATGTGTGAGTGCAGTGATGTAACCACTTCACCATCTGCCTGCCCTGATTTATCATGATTAATTTCAGTTTTTAAACACTATCCTGGTAGAGAATTCATTATCTTTGTAAAAGGCAATGTAGGTGCTATTTCAAGATATATCTCTAGTCTGTTACAAACATATGTATTTTAAATTGAAACAGAGAGGGAAAAAATGAACTTACACTGCCTACTGTCATTTCCAACCTGCCCCCTGGATCTGTGTGAAAACTGTTTCTTAGGTATCAGTGATTGTTGCACCCACTCTTATATTTCATTTCAGCTTGAAACAAAATGTTACTGGACCAATGTTTCACTTTTTTATTTTAAGAAATATTTGCTGTAGGACACATGTTATTCTTGAGATTTTTAAAAATATTCATTGTCAGCAAACATATAAATGTATATGGAGAGTTTGTAGTATTGAAAAGAAAACAAACACCAAATTTATAAGTATTTTACTGGAAAAAGACAGTCATGGTTTCTAAAAATCGTGTACATTCTTTATCTTTTATATTTTTCAAACACTAGAAATCTGTGTATGTAAATAGTTGCATGAATATTTATTTTTCTTGTTAGCTATTTGTTTTGTTAACTATTGAGAATTTCCGCATTAATTCAATACTTGTTGACACTCCTTTATATCCTTTTTGTTGTAGGGTATTTTATTTATCATTCATCAATTCTCACTATTTGCCATTTATTTTTAACTATAGTTATTTTCATTATATTAAATTGATTATTTCTAGATCCAATCTTATATGCCTTTTAGGTTTTTTTTTGGGGGGGGGAGATTATTGCTATAGTATAGATGCACTTGTTAGTGAGAAAAAGAGAAAGAAGGCAAGAAATCATCCCTCAAGGGGAATGGCCACTTCACAATCCCTTCTCCTCCATTCTCTTCCTGGGATCTTGGGCATGCACACCCATGCACCTGGCATGAGTTTCAAGACACCAGGTCCAGAACCTGAATCACTGTTGACCATGTGGGAGTCCAGTGCCTCAACCACTACACCATCTGCTGGCCCCTTTAGTTAATTTTCTAAGAATGGAACTAAATATTCTATTTCATGATTCCTTTTCGATCACAAAACATTTATTTTTTTCTTCCAGTACTCAAAGATAATTTGGCTAATATTGATGTTTACCTACTTAATTTGAAATACTATTTGAGGTATTCAATAAGGATAAAAATGGAAACATTTCATTTATTATGTAGTTTTATATTTTCAGAATAAAAATCTATTATTTCTTGTGATCTAAATGTTATATTCTCAATGCAGTAAGTACAAGCTACAAGTAAAATTATAAAAAAAAAAAAAAGATAAATGATGTGTTTGCTAGTTAGTGTCAAGGTGATTTAGATGGCTGGATTCCTACATGGCTGACTATGTGGTTCGAGTTCTAGACATGGAAGCTTTAGAAAGCTGTGTGTGCATGTCTGCCCAAGGAGAATGGAGGAGAAAAGATTATGGCATGGCCATCCTCATCTAGGCAGTGCTTTTTCTCTGTCTCAGTCCCTGTCCCTCACATTCAACTTATACACAAAATTAAAAAAATGTTATGAGAAATCTTGGCACTCTGAGAAAGCCAATATTCTCTCTTAATCCAATCTCTTTCCAGACACTGCTAGTATGCATGCTACCCCGTACCAACATGCCCATTTAAAATTATATATTAATGGAACCAGCAGTTAGCTTAATGGCTTTGTCACTGGACTCCCATGTAGTTGACCGTGGTTCGGGTCTCGGACCCAATGGCTTAAACTCATGCTGGGCGAGTGTGCATGAGTGCCCAATATTCCGAGAGGAGAATGGAGGAGAAGGGATTGTGGCATGGCCATCCCCCTTGGGGGGATGATTTCTCGCTTTCTGTCTCTCTCTTTCTGGCGAGTGCACACGCCCTATAGCAAAAATCTCTCCAAAAAAAAAATAAATAAAATTATATATTAAGCTATGGAGTGCTATCCTTCATGATTTCATGAAGACAGTGTTAAGT